GTACTACGAACTAGCCCAATCAATATTTAAACTCAGACTAAACATGCATTBTATCCATCACCGAGTGTGAAGGAGCCTGGCGCTGCACACAGGAAGAAAGCGCCAGGTCCAGACATACACAGACGAAGAGATAAGGATCAAACGAAAGGAGGGAGGGAGATGGGAATGTCGTTAACACCAAGTGTTGGTCACCAATCCTAAATAGTCCCTCGTTGCCATGTTTGAACCCCCGAAAGTCGAGTCTGGACCAAATGTCACCAAACTCTGTATCTCTTCTCTCATAGTCTGTAGATGCAGTGAAGTCATAAGTGAGAGGGAGAGAAGAGATGGTGGACTGAGAAGAAGAAGAAGAAGAACTCTCTCTCTCTCTCTTTGTTACGAACCAGATACTAACCTGTGATGTGGGCGTTGTGCTGCAGGTACCTCGAAGACGAAGCTGGAGCAACGGCGTTGCAGGTAGGTACCTCTGGCCTCCGCCCAAGCTCTCTCTCTCTCTCTCTAGTACTACCTAGCTATGGCGCCCAGCGCTGGAGACTACAACTACCTACTGCGCCTWGCGCTGAAGACTACTAGCTAACGCTACAGCTACTACAAMGCAGCGCTCCCTCCAGAGTGCTGCTCCCGAATCCTGAAGACTACAATTGACCGACTGACTCTCTCGGAAGTGCCTGGGAAGTCCTATGTACTACCTCGGCCTGCCTCCTGACTACTGGAGGCCAGTCAGGCCGAGSAGGCAGCTCTTGCCAATGCCGAAGTGTGCCAGGGGCTGGCGTGCAGCAGCCTGCTTGAGGCTGGCGTGGGAAACAAAYTAATAGTRGTCTGTTTCCGAAACCCTGGTTCGGTGCCTGAGTTTCAGGGCCGGTCGTTTTGATGAACGACCGAAAATGGCCCTTCGTTTCAGGCTAAAAAGGCTGTTGCCATTTTTAGTCTGAAACGACCAGGGATAGGCCCTGAACTTCAGGCTTTTGGCCTGAACCGACATGGGGCCTGTAAGCCCTGGATTTCAGGCTTTCGGCCTGAAATTCAGGCTTTCAGCCTGAAGTTCAGGCTTTTAGCCTGGACGGACGCAGGCCTGCAAATTGGTCGTCGGGCCTGCAAAATGGACCGTGTGTGCACGCGCTGCATGTAACAGAGTGCCTTGCACTGTTACGCCAAGGCATCCTGACAGCTCCACACCAGCTTAGGATTGAGTAAGAATTTTACTTCTCAATCCACGTGCCAGAACAGAGAGTAAGAATTTTCCTTCTCAAAGAAATCAAGCGACAACTAAGCCATCAATCACTCGACTAGGTGTGCAAGCAAATGGCCTGCTGAATTACCGCAAATAACCTAAGCAATTCGTTTTTTAGAAACACGTATTGCCGCAGCAGCTTAGGATTGAGAGAGAGGGGTAATCGTCGCTATCAGACGTTATCTGCGATACATGGGAGTAAACCTGTGATTTCCTCTCCTTGTCTGTTTTAGGTATTTTTGCCTTTTGGCAAGTCGGTTTTCTTTGTAGTCATTATAAGAATAGTTAGCACGAAGGAGCAGTGGGAACACTAATGGTTGGACGATATGAGAGACCCCGTGAATAGCAAACTAGAGTTGTATCCATTGGGTGCGTGGTGGGAAACCCGTCTAGGCAACAAAGGCTCTTTACAGTGTTTTGGACAGTGATGTTGAGAGGGTAACCCTACTGGTTATTCTTCCTCGCCAGATCCCGGTCCTTAGTTTCTAAGAGTAGATTTATTGGTCCAGTTTGTTGGGAGTTTCTAAGAGTAGATTTATTGGTCCGGTTTGTTGGGGAGTCGCAAAGTGTTGTAGTCTGTGGGGTAGATAAAGTTTTTGGAAAACATAACGTAGGTCTTCCACTTAGCAAGAATATGACCTGTGATGTGACATTTTGATTACAGACAGCGGCACTACGGGGCCAGTGTGAGTGCCATCGTCAGTGGTGGGAACGTTAGTCAATTGTAGTCGTTATAAGAGTAGTTAGCATGAAGGAGCAGTAGGAATGCTAATGGTTGGATGATATGAAAGACCCGGTGAAGAGCAAACTAGAGTGGTATCCATTGGGTGCGTGGTGGGAAACCCGTCCGGGCAACAAAGGCTCTTTACAGCGTTTTGGACAGTGATGATGAGAGGGTAACCCTACAGCTTATTCTTCTTGCCCAGCTCCTGGTCATTGAGCCTATAGGTAGTTTTAGTTTTCAAGGGCTTAGCCGTGTACTTGGATCCTGGCGGAACGTAACACTGCCGATTTAGGCAACTGAGCACGGTTTGATAGTAGTTTAATAGCGATGCTAGTGGGCACAGACTGAACTTTAGCACCAAGTAGGATGGTGCCTTGCTTCTACACGAAATTACTTTGCGCTTCAAGGAATTTTGGAAGACGAGGATAGAACAGTGAAAGGAAGGGACGCTGGACCCTTTTTCCAGCAACAGCCCATTTAGGGTTATTGGTCATATCTTCCGGGTTGTTTGTGAGGAATTCCCAGCCTCCTTTCATTTGTAATAAAATCTAATGATTCTTCCAAAAAAAAAAAAAAAAAAAAAAAAAAAGATTTCCTGCCTTTCTTTGCATTTTCTTTTTTGGGGACAGAAAAAAAGACGTTCCTGATTTCTTGTACCCATTGTTATAGAAGATAGTCGTTTGCGGGGCATCAGGACAGAGGCTCGTGGGGGCCGGAACTGTTCCTTAAAATAATAATAATAAAAAAAAAAAAAAAAAAAAAAAAAAAAAAAAAAAAAAAAGAATGAGCCTCTCCCAAAAGTGAAGGTACTCAGGACAGGGGCCACCTGGGGGTCACGGTGGACAGATTTTTTTTATTTTTTTTTTTCAGGGCTGGGCCTAGTGCCACCCCACGGCATAGGACAATATCTTCTTTCTACTGGCCCTTCGGATGCCCTGTCCCGAGCCTCCGACATTTTAGGAGAGGCTCAATTGGATTCTCCACTTGGCTGGGGCCATGTGCTGGTGGTTAAATGTCTATGTTTTTTTTTTTTTGGTTGGCTGGGAAGGGAGTTGTGTGTGTGTGTAGAGGGGAGAGAGAGAGGAGAGTGGTTTGAGCAGCCAATGTCGGCGGTGCGTACTCTGTTACGGAATCCGTAAGCGAAGGTATGACTTTGAGTTTGTGAAATTCGGGGTCCTCGGCTAGCATCTTCTCCAACAGAGAATCAAGATTACTGAGATTGGCTGCCTGCAGTCCAAATTTGGATCCAAAAAGAAAACAAAAAAACAAAAACGAAAAAAGTCAGTCACAAAAAGGGTTATAATCTTGTGAGTCCCCAACAGACACTAAAAGAAAGAAATTTACGATAGCCGTAAAACATTTATGATACTACCTTTCTCCCTCGAACATAACACATATGCGTTGTATTCAAGTTTTCAAATTTGAAAAAAAAATGAATGGAACGCATATGCGCTGTATTCGAAATTTAGGGCTATTCGAATAGAACACATATGCATTGTATGCGACTAGAAGGCACCCTATGCGTTGTATTCGTTTACAACGCATATGCGTTATGTTCGGGGGAAGAAGGTAGCCGTCCCGCTCCACTACACCAGACTCTTTAAAATTCAAAAGGAGTCCAGCATGGCTCCACTGCACCTGCGCCCCTGCACCCCCCCTCCCCCCCCMCCCCCCCTTGCTTCCATACACCCTCTTTATCCATCCCACCCTCCTGCCCTCCCCCACCTGCCCTCACCCCCACACCTGACCGCCCCACCACCACTCCGTCCCCCACTCAACACCCTGCTGTAGTATGCTGGCCAAGTAAGGATCTCTCAAAAATCTAAGCTGAGCAAGAACACCAATGGAGGTCCAATGGGACTGCAGACAGGGTATCATCCCGATGGCGAATGGACAGGTGAGGCAAGGAGACTACAAAGGCAGATTGACCGCAGACAACTGGGACCCCTTATCATCGGGCTTGGCTCCACTACTCTCGAAATGTGCAAAACGAGAGTGAATCTTCAACTAGAACGCGGAAAGATACATTTCAATTTTTTTGTCTTTTGTCTTTTGTGGATGTCAATACTGTAAATACTAAACATACAAACAGAGAAACAGACAAACTGAAATAGCAACACAATAGGTTAGATGCTCACAATACAGAAATCCAGTCATAGGAGAGCAACATGTGCACGAGACTCTGAGCAACATGTGTTTAGGACATCATATCCTGCCATGCACGGACAGCCTCGAACCGGCACCCTCCACCACGGGAACAAAGTATCGTAACCACTAAAACCCTTGGAGGTGTTATAAGGACTGGATTCATACTGGCCGTGATATCCAGCCCACCTTCAGGGCTGCAGCGTCCTTGAAAACAACACCACACACCCAATGCACACCACACCACGGACTTAACAATCACACACACTCCGTCAAACAACACGTAACCCTCCACCGCTACCAAGCCCGGTCACACACATGGGCAAACCGCCCGCGGGTTCACCGGTGCCTCACAGTGATTCTGAGCAACGTGTGTTTAGGGCATCATACCCTGTCATGCACAGACAGTCTCGAACCGGCAACCTCCACCACAGGAACGAAATATAGTACTAGAACCCTTGGAGGTGTTATAAAAACTGGATCCATACCAGTCGTGATATCCAGCCCACCTCCAGGGCTGCAGCGTCCTTGAACGAGGATGCTTCACTACTACAAACATACATGTGGGGACATATGGGAACAGCGAGCACAGAACTGCACTCTACTGGGATGATGGACCCGCTCTCCAGCAGATTCATACCTACAGGCATATTAGTGCATATATAGATACACAGCACAACACAGCACAACACAGCACAACACAGCACAACATGGCCAACCAGGGCTTTTTAGAATATAAAAAAAAAAAAAAGCTAAGATCTCTTTCTTTTTTCAGATAATTCGTGTTACCATGCGTTTTTTGCAAATCTATTTTTCGGATTTATTTATTGGTCAAGTGGTCCATTTGTTTTTCTCTTTTTCGTTGTCCGGAATGCTCTCACGTGTGTACAAGACCCATGATCTCGAAATCAAAACCGTTATGTTTCTCCTTAGCCTCTTGTCCTTTCAGCTACACACGCGGACCTAGTATGTCCTTTGCCGACGCCTTATTCCTCTTGTCCTTTCAGCTACACACGCGGACCTAGTATGTCCTTTGCCGACGCCTTATGGCATTGCTTCGGTGCTACGAGCACAACAACAACATCAACAACAACAACGACTACAACAACAACAACAACGACAACAACAACGGTTACAGCAACAACAACAATGACGACAACATCAACATCAACAACAAAAACGACAACAACAACACCTACAACGGAAGTGATGACCACGGCAGCAGCGGGATGGAGAACGGTGCCCGCGCATATCTGATCATCGTCAGCAAGTTGGGAGAGATGCTGCACGTGGAGGCGGTGGGATTCGGGGCTGACAACAACAATGGCGAGGGCGGCAACGACGATGATGGTGGCAGGGATGGCCATGACAACAGTAACAACAACAACAACAGTAACAATGACGATAACAACAACAACAACAGTAACAACGACGATAACAACAACAACAGCAGTGATGGCGGTAGCGACGATCACGGCGCCGGCGACGACCTCGGCAGCAGCGGGGCAGAGAGCATCAGCATGACGGGAGAGATGCTGCATGCTGACGTAGAGGGGAGTGGGGTTGACACGCATAAGAGGTTTGCCATCTCCCCCCCCCCCCCCCCCCCCCCCC